TTATTATTATTATTATTATTATTATTATTATTATTATTATTATTATTATTGTTATTATTAATATTCATAATCTTTTTTATTTATTTCTCAACTGCCCCCTTATCTCCTCAGTGGCAACGGCTGCCCCCCCCCCCCCCCCCCCCCCCGCCAGACACAACAGCCCTGCTTACAAAGATATAAAGAAAATAAATAAATCCAAAGTTTAAAAGAGTAAGTTTGATTAGAGGTAAACAAAACGTTAGACAACACGACAGAAGAAGAAGAAGAAGAAGAAGAAGAAGAAGAAGAAGAAAAAGAATGAATTACTGGGAATGGCACACAATGGCGAATATGCTTGAAAGTGATGAAGTTGTGATATCTTCACAAGTCGGTGTGGGTATTTACGAAGGTGAGAGACGCACAGAGTGGGAAGAGGGAAAGTTAATCGTATCTACACATCATATCTTCTTTCAAACATCCGATAATAATGCCCAATTACTGCGACTTCCATTAGAAACTATAGTGAGATCTGGACATGATGTTTACAGTAAAGGACGTTTTGCCTTTTCACATGCTAAAATTATCGTTCCTTTACCAGGCGATAATATTTATGTGAAGTTCTCATTTCGAAAAGGTGGAATGGAAGAGTTCTTTGAGGCCTTACGGAAGGCATTAAGAGAAAAGTGGTGGTTGCAGAAATCAAAAATAAATAAACCATCATCATCTTTATCATCATCTCCATTACCTCCAACTATTCAAACAACATCATCAATAACAACAAAACCAGGATCTTCTATACCATCAACGAATAATGTAAAGAAGGTTGAAAGTAAAGAGGAACAACCACAGGAACCTGTGTTTAGTATTACCGACAAGGCCGGTATTGCTGGTCTTATTCGTGCGACTGGAGAGAATGCCCAACTGAGTGAAACCTTAAAAGATATTGATGATGTGATGAATAACGCCTCTGCTCTTGTTGCCTCTATTCGATATTTACGACAAAAACAAAATGTCTCTGAGGGAAATACAGAAGGCGAAGATGATACCGCTATTGAAAGTATTGAAGCCACACTTGGATTGGGTACACTTGTCCGAGCCCCAACAAGTGGGATTACACACAGTCAATTTCATAAGGAACTCGCATTAGAGATGCATACATGGATGACACATCCTAAGAATGAACATATATTTGGAGGAATGCCACTTGTTCCTCTTATTGAATTGTTTTCTTTATATAATAAAGCGAGAGGAGGAACGGATTTGGTTTCTCCCGGGGATGTTCTCACTGCCTGTCGGGCTATGGAAAAACAATCCTACTCACAATATACATTAAAACAACTCTCCTCTGGTAGACTTGCATTACAACACAAAGATATATCTTTAGTTTTGGAGAAACTAGTTCCACTTCTCGGACCACAACTTTGTAACCCTAAAGAGAAGCAAAAAAGAGAAAATGAAAAGAGTAATATTAATATATCGACAACAACTGTCTTTCCAGATTCATGGATGGCATTAAAATCCGTTAATGAATTACAATTTGCAGCGAAATTACATGTGGCTCGATCGGTGGCATTAGATTTATTACAAGAATTGGAATTGCATGGATATCTCTGTAGATCTGGAGGTAATTATGGATGTATCGCATTTCATTGGAATATCTTCGTATTTTAACACATTTTTTTGTTGTTTTTTTTTTTTTTTCTTTATCTCTTTATTGAGAAAAAACAAAAAAAAAAAAGCAAAGAAGAAATAAATGTGAGTGTTATTGGAGTCGAGGATAATACTGATTTATATTTACAGAAGGCAGTAAACGAGTTCTCTTTTTATTATTTCTGGTTACTCATTTTATGGGAACTGGGTTTTTTTTTCTTTTGCGTTTCCATCTCTCTGTATATATATATATAATTAATGTATATATATATATATATATATATATATATATGTATTTCTATCTCTCTGTATTTTTAATATTCTTTTCTCTTATTTTTTTTTTTTGCATTTTATCTCCTTTTTTTCTCTCTTTCTCTCTCTCTTCTTTTCTTTGCTATCACTATCACACAACACAGACAAGCACAACCACACTTAAACTCATATATATACATCTATATTTATATATATACAGGTATATTCTCTATTATATGGGTGAACGAGTTGAGTCTGCTTTTGATCAATTGCAGGCCATTTTAGATAATGAACGATTTGGCTCATGGAATGAAGATGACGTCACAACACTTCTTTCACTCTTAAATGAATACTATAAACATCAACAGAAACAACAAAAGAAGTCTGATTGTACAGGTGAAAAAGAAAAGGATGATGAAACTTATTTAGATGAAGAAGATATAATTAATGAAATGGATCGATCATTAACAAAACTTCGTCATTTTTTACAGAAACGTCTTCCATATGGTTCTGTTCATGAACCGAATGCTCCACCATTACCTTTATCCACATCATCACCCTCTGATGAAGATAAGAGTATAGTGAAAGTGAAAAATAATAATAATAATAATAATAATAATAATAATAATAATAATAATATAAAGGCACCTGTTTATCCTGTAGATGCATTTATGTATTTAGAGGAAGATGTGGAAGAACTTGTGCAACAGGGATGTATCTCACGAGAGTACTGTAAAACGTGTGGGTCTGTAGATATTGGATTAAGTGATTTCATCACCCATTCCTTCTCTCAAGATCAGTTGGTGTATCTCTCTTGTTATTTATTACCAGCCCTTAGTGATGCCGCTTACATTGTCACCCCAGATTGGAAATTACAGCGACGCAATGAAGAACAGTGTAAAGAAGTTAAATTACCACTATCAACATCAACAACAACAACAACAACCGCTATATCTTCTTCTTCTTCTTCTTCTTCAGTAGTGTTAACATCACCTCCTTTTAGTTGTCGACATGTTGTGGATGTGGGTTCACGTCTTGGAGTGGTACTTCTTTCCTGTTACTTCGCCGCACAGCAGCAAAGACTGGGAAATACAGAACAAGTGACGGGTGTTGAATTAGATAATAATATGATTACACTTCAACATGATGTGATTAAAAGATTTGCTTCTAAACCTTCATCCTTACAGTTAAATGTTGTGCATAGTAACTGCTTTGAGGGAACAGGGATGGATGTACTTTGTCAGGCAGATGTGGTGATTTTACATAATGTGTTTGAGTACTTCTCTGCATCTCCGGAGGAACACCTGCAATCGTGGCAACGACTACGGGAGATTTTAACACGACGTGGTCAATTATTGATTTGTTCCCCGAGTCTTCAGGAAACACTCGCCGGGTTTACAGAAGAACAGGTGCGTAAAGTCTTGACAAACAACCACAATAATAATCATAATAATAATAATAATAATAATAATAATAATAATAATCATAATAATAATCATAATAATAATAATAATAATAATAATAATAATAATAATTCTGGAAAGGAGGAGGAGGAGGTTGTTGTGCAAGAGCATGTGAGTCCTAATTCCCGCAAGCGCTCTCGAGATGAGATGAAAAATGAGTCGTTTATTGAAGTCTGGCGAAGGGCGTGGGTGGAGGAAATTGATGTCTCTACAGTGCGAGATGTATTCTTTTCCCTTAGACAAGAAGGCAATAATAATAATCATAATCATCATCATTGTGAAAGTGATGAGTGTTGTTCCCATGGAGAAGATGAGGAGTTGCTTGAGAGGTTAAATAGTGTGCGGGTGTATATGGTAAAGTAATAAAATAAAGAAGAAGAGTAGGGAAAAAGAAAAATAATAAAGTTATCATCATAATTATTAATAAATATAATAAAACTGGTTTCTTTTCTTTCTATGTTTTCTCTCATTTTCAAAGAATGGGGAGGATATATGGTCCATTATTATTATTAATATTATTATTTTATTTTTTTTTCTTTTTTTTTTTTCATTCTCTTTTACTCCATATAATAAAATATCTTTATTTGTTAAATATCCACTACACAATTTCCCTTTCTCCCCTTCTCTCTCTTTTTCTCTTTATTACAACGGCAAGTACTCTCTCTCTCTCTCTTTCTCTTTCACATCCATACATAATGGGTACACTGCAGCTCATCACCATCACAGCTGAAACGGTTGGAAAGATTCTCCTCTGTGCCCTTGCGGGTCTTCGTCTTTCTCACTATTTCGTCGCACCGGCCAAAAGTCTGCGGGGTCTCAGTGCTATTTCACTTCTCGTATTTCTCCCGTGTCTTTTATTTGGAAATCTCGTTCTTCGGCTCACCTGGTCGGCGCTTGGACATTATTACTGGGCCCCACTTCTTGCATGTGTCCCAACAGTGCTTGGTGCGATTGGTTCCTTTCTCTTTCGCCCATTGCTGGATCCACATTGGCACGGTGTACTCACATTGGGATGCACCTTTCAGAATGGATTAACATTTGGATTGTCTATAGTGATGACATTAAAGGGAGTCGCGTGGTTAACACCAGAGGCGGTGGAACGGGCAACATCATATATATTTCTTTACAATATTGTCTGTTCTATTGGGCTTTGGGCTATTGGGGAACCATTAATTAAATCATGTAAGAAGCGTTTGGTGCAGGAACGTCTGGCACGACGACGTATTCAACAAGAACAACAACAACAACAACAAGAAGAACAACAAGAGCATCGTGAGGAAATCAGTGGATGTATGGATAGTGAAAACAGAATAGTTTATCCATATGGATTAAATAATTCGTCTATCGAAGTCGATAGAACTGTAACAGCAAGTGATATAGATAATAACGCAGTGGAATCAACACCTAATCAAAATGAATCTAAAAAAGAAAGAAGAGCAACAGTGGAGGAGCAATTTGTGTGGTATCGTCCTTCAGATAATGCGCCGCCTATTTCTTTTTCAAATACCACAGGTAACGATAATAATAATAATAATAATAATAATAATAATAGTAATACTATTCTCTCTACGCTTTGGGAAGTACTGGTACGAATTCCTGGTATTCTGAAGAGTCCACCTGTTTGTGCTACTCTTTCCGCTATTGTCATTTCATTAGTACCCCCACTGCGTTGGTTAGCAGAGTCACCGCCTGGTGATGTTATTATTGGTGGAATGAAAATAATTGGAGCTGGGGCCATTCCACTTCAGCTTCTCTTGCTTGGATGTAATGTGGCCGGCTCCCGTCCACCGCCTTTGGAAAATAAGAACAGACCAACAACAGGTGGAAAACACAATAGAGATGATGAAGATAATGAAGATGAGGAGGAAGATGGGGATAATGATAATACTATGCATACCGTGGGCATATCAGATGGTCAGAGAAGATGCATGAAGTTCTTCTCCATTTCACAGCCGACACTTTTCGCTATTTTAACTGTTAGTTTACGACTTGTTTTTATTCCATTAGTTTGTTTCGTAATTATTCACTTTCTCCGTGTGGGAGGGATTATTCCTCCAGAGCGAGATTTCTTATTATCTGTACTGTTGGGAACCTGCGCGCCTTCCGCTATTAACTCATCTCTTATTTGTACTATGCATTCGTACAAGGCAAGACCGTATGCACAGATGATATTTGTGATGTACGTTACTGCTATAGGAACAACTGCATTCTGGCTTACATTCTATATTTGGTATTTGGGTGAGTAATGGTCTATTGTATATATATATATATATATATATGTGTGTGTATTGATGTTTGAGGATGTCATTTCTCGGCTTTTCTTTTTTTTTTTGCATTTGTTTTGTTATTGTACTCTTTATGGACGGAGCACTACACATTAATTAAAATGTCATTAATCTAATAATACAAAAGTGTATTCTTCTTTTTTTTTTTTTTTGTTGTTGCTTCGGTCTTGCTTAAGCCGCATTTTTTTTTTTTTTTTAATTTGATTCGCTCTTGTGTTACGATCAATTATCATCTCTTTATATATGAGAACAAAAAAAAAAAAGAAGAATAATAGAATATTCTTTTGTATTTGTAATTATGTCTTCTTTCTTCTTTCTTTTCCTTCTCTTACCTTTTATTTATTTGTATTCTGAGGTTTCCCCCCACTCTTTTAGAAGCTCTCTTCATATATAGAGAGAGAGTTTATAAGGTGATAAGTCAACATCAATAAACAATATCTATATTATTATTATTATTATTATTATTATTATTATTATTATCAATGGATCGTTTTCTCTCTTCTGCAGTGACTGTAGGGAAAGTTATTCTCGTTGCGGTTGTGGGGATGTGGGCCTCGCGGTATTTTGTCAGCAAATCAAAGTCCCTCGCTGCCCTTAGTCACATCGCTGTGAAGATATTTCTCCCCTGTCTACTTCTCACCCAACTCGCACATGATATTTCATGGGAAATGATTCGTAAATATTACTGGGCCTGTATTTTACCTCTTATTCCTATGGTGATTGGTTTATCCTCCGCCTTTGCCTTTCGTTCCTTTATTCCAAAAGAACTGCACGGTTTATTACAACTTGCCTGTACTTTTCAAAATGTGATATCGTATGGTTTAGGCATTGCGGTGAATCTTAATATCTCTTGGTATGATAAGGAAGCGGCAACAGAGGCACAATCATATGTGTTTCTCTACAATGTTGTGCATTCTCTTTTTCTCTGGTCTGTTGGTACAATGATTGTGGAGAAGTGTGCAGAGGCTTTGGAGGAAAAAGATGTGGTTTTAGAAACTTCTACAACTACAAATACACATACAAATACTACTAATACGAATACGAATAGTAATACTACTAATACTACTACTACTACTACTACTATTACTACAGATACTACTACAGATACTAGAGATACTACTAGCATGAATGTAGATAAGAAGGAGGAGAAAAATGGAGAAATATCCTCCACACAGAGTTATATGAATAGTATAAATTCTTTAAATTATAATCCAGTAACGAGATTAGAAGATTATAGACCAGTTATTGCTTCTACAACGAATACGGGTAAAAGACGAGTGAAACGATCAGAAGAATTAACATGGTCAGAATATATTTGTTTACAACTCTCTTATCTTATGACGGAACAACTTATTGCTAGTCTTATTGGTTTACTTATAGCTCTTGTTCCTCCATTTGGAATGTTAGTGGATAATCGTTTAGGTGAAATGATATTAGGAGGTTTTTCACTCTTAGCACCAGGAACAGTACCACTACAGTTATTAGTACTTGGTGTGAATATTACAGCAGATGGTGATGGTTCTGTTAAACTTCCCACACGTTTTTTAGTGGCTGTTATTATTTTACGTTTATTCTTTATTCCACTTGTTTGTTTTGGTATTGTTCATATTCTCGTTGTAAATGCTCTCATTGAGTATAATAGACCTTTTATATTAATAATGTTAATACTCACATGTGCACCAACGGCTATCAATACTTCTATTATATGTTCTATGTATTCATATAAAGTAAAGGAATATACGAAATTACTTCTTTATATGTATATCACCTGCATATTTACAACAACAGTGTGGCTTACAATATATATATGGTATCTAGAAACATAAATTTGTAGAATATCATATATATATATTTTTTTTCTTTCGGAATGCAATTTAAAAAGGAAAAAAAAAGGGTTGAGAACTATATATTACCCAAATGAAACGCAATGATTTTTTTTTTTTTTTGCTTTTATGTGAAATAAGTTTTTAACGTTTCTTTTTTTTTTTTCTTTATTTATTGTTCTTATTATGGACGAACGGTGTAAACGTTGTTTTTTTTTTTTTTATGTGTATGTGATATTTCTTTATCGCACTGACGAACGTTAATCTTCTTTGTTTTTGTTTTCTTTCCTTATTTATTCATTACTATACATATCTCTCTGAATTCATATATATAAATATATCTGGGAATGAAACAATACCTTAATTCCTCTTTTTTTCCTCCTTTTCTATTTTCTACAAAAAGACATTTAGAAAGAGAGAAAGAGAAAGAGGAAGATTATCGTTTTTTTCTTTTTTTTTTAATAAAAATGTCTAAGATTAAAGTGTACGTTCGTGTACGTCCCCCACTTCCTGGGGAATTTGATATTCCTGGCTGTTTTGACTGTGCTGAGCTTGAGGAGATCTCTGGAAATTGGATTCGCATAAAGAAAGAGGGCGAGAGAATTCGATACTTCGCACGGGTGTGGGGCCCAAAGTCCACACAAGAAGAGATATTCCGTACGATTGGCATCCCTACTGTAAAGGATGTGTTTGAGGGTTATCACGGTTGTATTTTTGTGTATGGACAGACGGGAACGGGAAAGACATTTACTTTAGGCTGTTTAACGGCAGGACTGGAGGGCATTCAACCACAGTGTATTCGATTTATATTTGAGAAAATTGCAAAGGAAAAGGAAAAGTATGAAGTGACGGTGAAACAACATTATGTTCAACTCTATCGAGATGCAGTGCAGGATTTACTGGATATTACAAAAGATAATTTAAAAATTCGTCTAGATGATACCATAGGGGCTACAATAGAAAAAGTAACGATTCGAGAAGTAAAGACATATGAAGAGTCTATTGCATTAGTTCAAGAAGGGGATCGTAATCGTAATGTGGCCAATACAAAAATGAATTCCGCCTCTTCTCGTTCACATGCTTGTCTCATTACAGAAATATGGCGTAAAGATAAAATAACAGGAATTATTACATTTGGTCGATTATATCTTATTGATTTAGCAGGATCAGAACGTGCTTCCAAGTCTGGTGTCTCTGATGCTGCCTTTAAAGAGATGGTGGCCATTAATAAATCTCTCAGTATATTAGGAAATTGTATTGCAGGATTAGTGAATGGAGAGAAAGTCATCTCTTTTCGTGAATCCCCACTTACACGTATGCTTCAACACTCCTTAACAGGACATGGACGAACTTCTATTATTGTGACGATAAGACCAGATAGTCCAAACATGCAGGAAAGTCTTTGTACACTTAAGTTTGGAGAAAGAGCTCAAAAGGTGGAAGTGCAGATGACTCCAGCGGGTTATAGTGATAATGTTCTTGAGCTTGAAGCCCAACTGCGGGAAATACAACGTAAGAATATTATGTTAAAACAAAGAGCTTCTGCCTATCGTCGATGGGAGGCGGAAATGATCGCAGAGATAAATACAAAAGAAGCCGAAATTGAAAAGCAAGAAAAGGGATTTCAAAACACTGTGGAGAATCTAAAGAAAGAACATGCACGAGAATTACAAGAAATGGAAGAACAATGGAAAAAGGATGAGGCTAATTTTATTTCTACAGCTTCTAGTGAACTTGAAAAGCTGAGAGAAGATAATGCGGCTATTATAAAGGAAATTGATGAAAAGGTTGCCAAGGCTGAAAAAGAGTTTCGTGAAACCTTTTTACCTGCACAGAAACGCGTAGAAGAAGAACGAGAAAAACTTGTACTTGCACGTACTCAAGCTGAAAAAATACTTGAAGATTTACAAGAGAAAGAATTAAGTGAAGATCCCTATGAAAAGGCACGACAATTACAAGAAAACTATACCAGTACTATTGCAGAGCTAAAACAGAAACTTCGAGGTTGCCGTGAAACACGCTTTGGAGACCTAAAAACAGTGGATGAAGTAGAGGAGAAACTTACTGAATATAGACTTACATTACAATATATGCAGGAAAGACTCTCACGGCTTAAGAGAAAAACAGAAAACTGGAATGAACGAGAAATTAAGAAATTCCTTCACCGTGAATACAAAGTACCTGATAAGAATGCACTACATCAATATGTGGAAGGATGTCGAGAAGTATCTATGGAACGAAAACGTGAGAAGGAAGAGGAAGAGGAGAAAGCATTAGCATTAGAAGCAATGGATAGTGCTAATGAAGATAGTATACCCCCGCCTAGTGATGAACCTCCACCAACAGACTCGGATGTCTACTCTTCAGATGACAGTGAATACACATACTCAACTGATGATGAAGAAGAGGATGAGGATGATGATGATGATGATGATGATGATACTATGGACGATTCAAGTTCTGAGGAGAATGAATCTGAAGAAGAAGAAGAAGATGAGGAACCAAATGAGCCTATACCAACTGAAGAACTTTTTGATGCAATTCAAAAAGAACAACGTATGATTGAAATGCTTGACAACTTTGCAAAGTATGTGATTAAAGGAACAGTAGTTTACATATTACAAATAAGTAATGATGGAAAGCCGCCATTATTAGTTCGATGCTTTATGCAACTCACATCCTCCTTTACTGCCATTGTAGTAAGTGAGGTGAGTCCCAATGGCAAAGATGCTATTAAGAATCGAAATCTATTTAAGATAGGGGTAAAAAATATTGTAAACATACGACTTGGACAAAGTACACCGCTATTTGTGAAGGCATTAGAGTACGCACCAGTTATTCCACAAGGTACTCAAATGCCACCCACAAGTGAACGCTGTTCCCTAACTTCTCTTCGTGTGTTTGAATGGCGAAGTATGTCTCTCTTGGTAGCCGAACAGACATCTCATTTGGAAAGTAAAAGAGAAACTTCTACACTTGATGTTGTGTTTAACACAAACTCTGATTATGAGGCATGGATCGTAACACTACACCGACTGACTTCACGAGAGCCACAATGGTCTGGTCCAATGGATCTCAGCGGTGAAATGGGATGTGAGAAACTATCAGAAAAAGAAGTAAAACTATGTGAGACAAAACATATTAAACCTTCTGCGTTATTGCGAGTAAATGCGGAATTACTTCATAATCCAATAAAGAAAAGACGTCTTTTTGTAACTCTGTTTGACTTTCGCAACATCTCAAATCTAGATCTTATTCACGCTCAACAAGTGTTTCTTTTCTTTATTGAGGAAGGATATGTCGAACAGCATACAGTAAATCAAATTTGCTTTACACAATTACAAAATGAAAAGAAATGGTTAAAGGAAAAAAGTGCACAAGTTCGTGCGATCCGAATACGACTTGTTAATATGCTACGGTATTATAAAAATGCTAACTTTACGCATATTCAACGATTTCTATTCTCTACACAGGGAAAAGAAGAAGAATTTCTCGAGAAACTGATAAATACATTAGGTCCTGAGCCAACAGAGGAACAGTTACAGTTGTCTACCAAGAAAGAAGAAAGTGGAAAAAATACAGAAGAAATGGTAGATGAGGTTACAGATGAACTCAAAGAGAACAAACCGACAAAAGAAGAATTGGAATTATCTGAAGAAGAAAATCGATCAAAGACGGAGTTGCAACAAATTGTGCAAATACAAAAAGAACTAGAAAATACTGTTAGGAGGCAACTTCAACAATTACAACCAAAGAAAGAAGATAATACACAGAAAAACAGTTGATGCTTTTTCCATGTACATTCTCTGAGGTCCAAAATAACCAGGATGACCTCAATACTGGCTAGTGTCAAGGGTGTGTAGTGTAAACATAATAAATATGAGACTATTACCAAGAGAAAACAATTTTATTCGTTAAAGTAAAGTACTATAGTAGTAGTAGTAAACATTATCCTTTTTTTTTTTTATCCTGGTGTACTACCAACAAAATTCCAGGGTGACTTTTTAAAAAAAATATATATACTATCGATTATCGGTTTTCCTACTACCTCCTCTTGTAGTTATTTAACTCTATTTTTTATTTTAGTCTTTCTTCGTAGTAGGAGGGTTGGGGGGGGGTCGTTCGTGTATACTTCTCTCTCTCTTTCTTTTTGTCATTGTTTCTGTACTGGATTCTGTGTAGAAGAGAGGGAATATTCCCTGTTTCTTTTCTGTGCCCTCATTTTATATTTATTGCTTTTCTCTTTGCTGCTCGATAGCAAGCTACTCAAGGTATACACTTGAACAACAAGAAAACAAAAAAAAAAAAAAAAAAAAAAAGAGAAAAACAATGGCGTCTGAAGCCAAACGTCGCGTTGCTATTATCACCGGTATCACTGGCCAGGACGGCTCCTATCTCGCTGAGCTTCTGCTGGAGAAGGGCTACGATGTGCACGGTGTTATTCGCCGCTCCTCCTCCTTCAACACGAAGCGCATTGACCATATTTATCGCAACGAGCACCTCAAGCTGCACTACGGCGATATGACTGACGGGACGGTGCTGCACCACCTCATCGCACAGCTGCGCCCAGACGAGGTGTACAACCTCGCCGCCCAATCACACGTGAAGGTCTCCTTCGACACACCCGAGTACACGGGGCAGACAGACGCCATTGGTGCTCTGAAGATCCTTGACGCCATCCGTGCGAATGGCTTGGAGAAGACGTGTCGCTTCTACCAGGCAAGCACAAGCGAGTTGTACGGAAAGGTGCAGGAGGTGCCGCAGTCAGAGAAGACACCCTTCTATCCACGCAGCCCATACGCCGTGGCGAAACTCTACGCCTTCTGGATTACAGTGAACTACCGTGAGTCGTACGGTATGTTCGCGTGCAATGGTATTCTGTTCAACCACGAGTCCCCCCGACGTGGCGCAACATTTGTGACGAAGAAGATTGTGCGTGCGGCTGTGCGCATTAAGAAGGGTCTGCAGAAGGAATTGCTGCTCGGTAATGTGAACGCCCTGCGTGATTGGGGACACGCAAGGGACTACGTGTATGGCATGTGGTTGATGCTGCAGGCGGAGCAGCCGGACGACTGGGTGTTAGCAACAGGCGAGCAGCACAGCGTGAAGGAGTTCTGCAACGTGACATTCGGCAGGCTGGGCTACGAACTGGAGTGGACCGGCAGCGGCCTTGACGAGATCGCATACAACAAGGCGGACCCCAATCGTGTGCCGCTCATCCGCGTTGACCCGCGGTACTTCCGCCCGGCTGAGGTGGAGACGCTGCTCGGCAACCCCGCCAAGGCAGAGCGTGATCTCGGATGGAAGGCCAAGTGCACCTTCGAGGAGCTCGTGGACGACATGGTAAAGGAGGAAATACGCGAGATTGAGACTGGCGAGGATTCCTGGCGGTAGAGAGAGGATCATTAATGCCGTAAACTGCAACAGTAGCAGCCATGGTAAGACTGTGGGGCGTAAAGTGTTCGCTTCTGTTGAAGGAGAGAAAGAGAGAGAGAGAAGTGTGATAAGGAATGAATTTAGTACACATACACTATATTATTTATGGGTGCATGCTAGGAATAATGCATGTATAAATACACCCATATTTGTAATGTCAAAGTGGGCCGCTACCGTTTTTTCAGGGATTCTTAGGGGAGCGGCTGCTGCAAAGGCTCTCTCTAACAGTACTGATCGTGAGGGAAAAACAGAAGAGCGCTGAGGCCCTTAAAATAAAGAAGCAAATGAAAAAAAGGAAAGCGGAGCATAGTCAAAGACGTAAGTCCTTGCAGTAGATAACTAGACACAACTGATTAAAGATTAAAATGAAGGAATGATCTAGGCAAGATATTGTTGACGAAGTGAATTGTATGATGTCGGTATTTTGTTTCTTATCATGTTTTTTGCATGCTCTTCTTTTTTTTTATATCTAAATTAATATGAAAGTGTTTATATTTCCAATTTTTTTTTTATCAACAAACCTCTTCTGTGAGTTGAGGACAAGCTAAGTAATGATTTCTTTGGCGCAGTCAGGTTTTTCGTCTTTGTTATTGTGAAGTGTATCGACTGTTGCTTTTTTTTTTTTATGTTCCTTATTAGCCTATAATTATGAATACATATAAAAAAGATATATTTGTTATTGTTTTTGGTGGGTTTCCCTTTATAATTTTTTTTATGTTATTTTCCTTTCTTATCTTCCTTTGGTTCTCCTTCTAGGGATTTGGGTTTGTTTTTCGAAGTTTGCGAAAGTGGCAGCTGGTATTCCCCGGCTCCGTTTTTCTGGTTACCGTAAACGGTATTTCTGTCTAAAGTAGAAAAAAAAAAGGAAAGAGATTCTTCTGTGTTTACCAAGAAACGAAAGTATATAAATATATATTTTATTCTTCCCTTTGTAGTGCACTTGTGTGTTTGATGGATCCGAGCGAAAGCGGCACATCAGCTGAACTGCAGCTGCGACAGGCAAGAAGCAGCATTGCATCACTTAACCGTTTTCTTGCAGAAGCCGAAAAAGGTAACACAGTACCTTTTGCAGAATTACAGCAAGAGCTGCAGAGTGCACGTGCCGTACTCACAGGACTTTCACAAGGAAGATTAGATGCTGTTTCAACTGCTGCTTCCATCTCTGTGCCTTCTGGGTGGCAGGCGTCTAATTTACACCCTCGCACAGTGGGCCGGGAAGCAGTAACAGACCTACAAAGACGTACGGCACAGCAATTACTTGCCGAACTGAGTCTAATAGAAACTTCTTTGCAGCGTTGTCAGCGAAAGACACAACAACGTCAGACGTATATGTCAGAGGTAGAGCAATTACTTGGCGGTATGCGGGGAAATGGTGGTCAAGATAGTGTTTCATCTCTACAACACCTCGAAAGTGAACGGAGTTCCCTGCAGTACACACGTAATCGTGTTCGAGCAATGCTAGATGAAAGTAATTTGGTGATGAAGGCGCTGCAGGATCAAGGTGGACGTCTCGAAGGAACAGATAGCAAGGTTGCGGATGTGTTAGAGTCTATTGGTGTGGCTAATTCCACTGTTTTGCAGATTCTCCGCCGTAATAGAGTTGATGCATGGCTTGTATACGGAGGCATTGCACTCACAATCTTATTTCTCTATTATATATGGTGATAGTAGTCTGCAGTTGTATTCTGCTGATGTGGACAGTTTTTTTTTTTTTTGTTTGCGTCTTTGGTGGAAAGTAGTTGAAGAGAATCATCTTCAATGTTTATGGATTAGCCGATTTAATTGGCATGAGACAGTGTGAATGTCAAAATGCTACTTTTTTTTTCCTTTGGTGAATGTACCTGAATGAACGACCTGTTGTGGTGGTGGTGGTTGCTTTTTTTTTTTTTTCGAGAGAGAGAGAGACTTGGCAATCTCTTGCAAATATATATATATATATGTAAATATTTATTATTCTATTTAAATTTGTGTGTAGTGTTTTTTTTTTTTAGCCGTTGTCTTTGTCATCCTTTTATTCTATTTTTTTTTTCTTGTTTTCGCCCCGATAAAAGTATCATGTTTGTGATGAAAAAAAGGTAAAGAATAAGGACTGAGTTCGATTTTTTGTTTTCTTTTTCCAGCCACATATAGATCAAAATATAAAACTACTCTTTTCTTAACAAAATAAGATAATCGGGAATGGATTTGGGTCAAACATCACGTCCACGTCCTGAACCAGAGCCATTTAATGATTTTGAAGTCCGACGAAAGTGCACTTTCTGCTGTGGATTACGTTGTGCTCTTGTTGCTGGTGGTGTGCTATTCGCTATCACATTTCCATGCAATTTAGTAATGCTGCGAGGTCGCATTTGTGAAGGCCGGGGTTTGTTTGGCTTCTTGGACCGTAATCTCTTTCTACCACTGCCCTTCGCTGCGGTAGCGTTTACACATCAGGTAATGCAGTCAGAAGCGCTTTGGAGCAAAAATCGAAAACCAATTTGGAAACTTAACTGGCAATGTGCTGGTCTTAATCTCTTGTTGTGGTCAATATTATTGAGTACGGGAACATTTATTTCTCGACGCTTTGCTCCACATTGGAGCCGACGATATCGTTTGTTGTTATGGGAGTACAAGCGTACTCGCCGTAATTGTGCTAATAAGTACTTTCCAACGGCATTTGGGAGAATCACAGAGGATCTTGATTGGTACAATATTCTCTGGATGCTTACCATTTACCACTCCTTGTGGGGTATGATCACTATTATGGCAGAGCGTGAGTTCGGCGCACACTATGCCATGTTCTACCGAGACTGGCCGTATAGTCGATGGTGTTCCCCACGTTGGAGGGAATGGCGAGAGATAGAGGCGATAAAGCATGTTAACAAGGAACAAATTGTGGGAGCATATCGTTGGGGTTCATTTCTCACAAGTGATCGCTGGCGTTCCAGCAGTGTTTAGCTATTAGAGAGAGAAAGAGAGCGGAATAACTGTTCTTCAGTAGAAAAAAATGTTTATCGCAGATTTCTTCCGTTCCATTACAAAAGAAGTTCCAAATAGGTGATATACAGTAGCTTCTCTCGCACTGACTAGCCTTGCTTTTCCTACTACCTCCTCTTGTAGTTATTTAACTCTATTTTTTATTTTATTCTTTCTTCGTAGTAGGTGGGTTGGGGGGGGGTCGTTCGTGTATACTTCTCTCTCTCTTTCTTTTTGTCATTGTTTCTGTACTGGATTCTGTGTAGAAGAGAGGGAATATTCCCTGTTTCTTTTCTGTGCCCTCATTTTATATTTACTGCTTTTCTCTTTGCTGCTCGATAGCAAGCTACTCAAGGTATACACTTGAACAACAAGAAAACAAAAAAAGGTAAAAAAAAAAAAAAAAGAGAAAAACAATGGCGCCTGAAGCCAAACGTCGCGTTGCTATTATCACCGGTATCACTGGCCAGGACGGCTCCTATCTCGCTGAGCTTCTGCTGGAGAAGGGCTACGATGTGCACGGTGTTATTCGCCGCTCCTCCTCCTTCAACACGAAGCGCATTGACCATATTTATCGCAACGAGCACCTCAAGCTGCACTACGGCGATATGACTGACGGGACGGTGTTGCACCACCTCATCGCACAGCTGCGCCCAGACGAGGTGTACAACCTCGCCGCCCAATCACACGTGAAGGTCTCCTTCGACACACCCGAGTACACGGGGCAGACAGACGCCATTGGTGCTCTGAAGATCCTTGACGCCATCCGTGCGAATGGCTTGGAGAAGACGTGTCGCTTCTACCAGGCAAGCACAAGCGAGTTGTACGGAAAGGTGCAGGAGGTGCCGCAGTCAGAGAAGACACCCTTCTATCCACGCAGCCCATACGCCGTGGCGAAACTCTACGCCTTCTGGATTACAGTGAACTACCGTGAGTCGTACGGTATGTTCGCGTGCAATGGTATTCTGTTCAACCACGAGTCCCCCCGACGTGGCGCAACATTTGTGACGAAGAAGATTGTGCGTGCGGCTGTGCGCATTAAGAAGGGTCTGCAGAAGGAATTGCTGCTCGGTAATGTGAACGCCCTGCGTGATTGGGGACACGCAAGGGACTACGTGTATGGCATGTGGTTGATGCTGCAGGCGGAGCAGCCGGACGACTGGGTGTTAGCAACAGGCGAGCAGCACAGCGTGAAGGAGTTCTGCAACGTGACATTCGGCAGGCTGGGCTACGAACTGGAGTGGACCGGCAGCGGCCTTGACGAGATCGCATACAACAAGGCGGACCCCAATCGTGTGCCGCTCATCCGCGTTGACCCGCGGTACTTCCGCCCGGCTGAGGTGGAGACGCTGCTCGGCAACCCCGCCAAGGCAGAGCGTGATCTCGGATGGAAGGCCAAGTGCACCTTCGAGGAGCTCGTGGACGACATGGTAAAGGAGGAAATACGCGAGATTGAGACTGGCGAGGATTCCTGGCGGTAGAGAGAGGATCATTAATGCCGTAAACTGCAACAGTAGCAGCCATGGTAAGACTGTGGGGCGTAAAGTGTTCGCTTCTGTTGAAGGAGAGAAAGAGAGAGAGAGAAGTGTGATAAGGAATGAATTTAGTACACATACACTATATTATTTATGGGTGCATGCTAGGAATAATGCATGTATAAATACACCCATATTTGTAATGTCAAAGTGGGCCGCTACCGTTTTTTCAGGGATTCTTAGGGGAGCGGCTGCTGCAAAGGCTCTCTCTAACAGTACTGATCGTGAGGGAAAAACAGAAGAGCGCTGAGGCCCTTAAAATAAAGAAGCAAATGAAAAAAAGGAAAGCGGAGCATAGTCAAAGACGTAAGTCCTTGCAGTAGATAACTAGACACAACTGATTAAAGATTAAAATGAAGGAATGATCTAGGCAAGATATTGTTGACGAAGTGAATTGTATGATGTCGGTGTTTTGTTTCTTATCATGTTTTTTGCATGCTCTTCTTTTTTTTTATATCTAAATTAATATGAAGGTGCTTATATTTCCATTTTTTTTTTTTTTTACTATCAGAGCGTTTTTTTCACTTGGTCGGTGTTTCTTTTTTTCAATACACTTACGTACTTTGTGTGTGTGTGTTTTGTTTCTTTTCTTTTTTTTAACTATGCTGGTGTATCGGGTTTTTTTTCTATTCCGGGTGCTGTGGTGTGGTTTACGTTGTTTTTTTATTTTCTTTTTTTATTTTTCTTTTCTTGTAATTTTACGTTGAAATGATAGAGGGTTTCTTGATGCCCTTCTGAGATTGAGATAAAAGTGTGTGAATGGGAAAGTTTTTTTTACTGTTTTCTGGTAATTAGGATTCTTATGAATTGCCCTCTTTTTTTTTTCTTTGTTAGAATATTTGGTCGTTATTTTTCTTGTAGTATAAGATAATGAGGATACCAATTGAATCTTGTGTCCTTGAGTATAGGACTTCCATTTTTTTTTTTTTGTAATTCTTTTGTGTACTTTCTTTTTTGTCCCTTCTTTTTTTTTCAATAAAGTAAGATGCGTGGTGTATTCTTTTTACCTGTGTAATGTTTTTTTTTTTTTTTTTGTTATTTTGCTTTTATATTTATCCCCTTCGTTGATAAAATATATTCTCTTTTTTTTTTGTCTGTTTTTTTGTTGTTGTTGTTTACTTCCCTGTTCGCACGTTGTGGTATAGGAGAGGAAGGAAGTGTGAAGGAAAAAGAGAAAACATTTAGAAGTTATTATTCTCAACACGAACAAATAAAAAAAAAAAAGATAAAAGAAAATAATATTATTATTATTAAACGTGGGAAGTACAAAAAGAAAAGAGCCAAACAACCGTGAACTATACAGATGAGTGACGTATCCAAGTGGGAGAAACAACTGCAGCGACTGTTGGTGGATGGTAGTGAAACCTCTAAAATTGTTGCGGCTGTTGAAAAAATTCTCTCCGCATCCCCTAAACACGTATTTGCCTTGCGATGTAAAGTGGTATACTTACTTCATCAAGATAAACACGCCGCGGCTCTCACGGCCCTTCAACAATGGGCACTGGCAGATCCCTCTATACGGGATAAATCACAGGAGTATGCGTTTCAGAAGGCCTACTGTTTATATAGAAGTATGGAATACCGCCAAGCACACGCCGTTCTTAAACGTGCCCCACATACATCAGAAGATGTGGCTTCTCAACATTTATTGGCACAACTTCATTACAATCTTGAAGAATTTGAAGAAGCCGCACGTATTTATGAAACGCTTTTAGCGAAAAATGCATTTCGTGATGATCATGAAAAAACAGAATTGCAGACAAATTATGCAGCGGCTTGTGCGGCCATTGATGCTCAAAAAACTCAAGCCATTGTACATGCTGCAGATGAGAAAACAGCCGATTTATTATATAATGCCGCCACCGCACAACTGGAAATGCATGATTACACCGCAGCTATGCAAACCCTTCAACAAGCAGAAACATTGTGTGCGAGGGCACATCCTAAAAGTCGTCTACGCTCTTTTCAAGATGTTTGTGCAAAGAGTGATGTGGAATTACAAGCATTATTGGATGTGAAAAATTCACCAGAACGTTCCTTCTTTAATGATGTTGCGGCTATTTGGGTACAAATGGCATATGTAAACTACGAAACCCGTCATGAAGATAAAGCAAGTGCTCTTCTTAATGTGGTTTTACGTTATCGACCATCTTCTACGGTAACACTTGCAGTGGCTTCTATTAATTGGGCTGCTATTCAGAAACATATTGATTTCTTTGATACCCACAGAAAACTTAAGATGGCCCAAAATCCAGCTGTAAGCAGTCGTTTAACATCTAGACAACGTTTACTTGTACGTTATAATACTGCCATGTTACTTTTGCATACAAGTAATTTAAATGGATTTCGACGTCAAGTGGAACATATTGCGGATGAATACCCTAATTCTGATCTCACACATTCTCTTAAATTGGCATTAGCCGTTCTGGAAAGTAAGAAAAAGCGACAATCAAATGATAAAACGGTTGCTGAATACCTGAAAAATTATCAGCAAAGTGTGAAGGAGCAACAAAAACAAGAACAAAATCAAAGAAATCCAGTAGTTGGAAAAATGATTACGCTTATTGCTGCACAAATATTTTTTGAAAATGGAGATCTTGAGCATGCTATTGAATCTCTATCTTCTGCACCAGAAGAAATTAGGCAAAAGCCTTGTACTTTGGTAACTTTGTTTACATGGAAGGTTCAAATTGGTGATGTAAAGGGGGCAAAACAACTTCTTATTGATTTTATTGGTTCTACATCAAAGAAACCTACGGTTGTTAGAGAAATTCTCACATGGGTTGTGCAATCCTTGGCATCACGGGGTCTCTATGCAGATGCCGTAGATGTTATCCGTGCTGTTCATACCGCCGTACCTGTACTTGAGCAAGATAAAGAGATACTAGCTCTGATGGCTCTCTGTCTCTCCCACTATGATATGCCATCTGCCCGTGCATGTATGGAAAAAATTCCTGAAGCTATCTTTACTGGCACTAGTAGTAGTGGTAGTGGTAGTTCTTCTGCTAAAAAGTTATCCTCCTCCTCTCTTGCCGAGCTGGAGTCTCAACAACCATCACGACAGCAAATTGAGGCACTTGGTTATCATCGCATCTCTGGAGGTGAGGATCAGGCCGATGGCGGTAAAGTCAAACGGACCCGTCGACGCCCTATGCGGCACCCACCGAAGAATCTTGAGGCCCGCGTGGATCCAGAGCGCTGGCTGCCCATGTCCCGCCGTTCATATATTAAAGATCTTCCAGAGCGTAGAAAGCGGGAACTCAAGCGGTTACGTGCGAGTGAACAGGAGCAAAAACGTCATGAAGCGGAAAAACGAAAAGCGGCAGCCACAACTGTAGCCACTGCAGCACATTAAGTAAATTGCTTATCTAAAGAAGTCCTTTAAGGGAAGAAGGAGTGAAACTAAGATGATAAAGCAATATTTTGGCACAAAGACTTACTTATTATTATTATTATTATTATTATTATTATTATTATTATTATTATTATTATTTTGCTTTGCTGTGCGAATGTAAGTCACTGTGAGTTTGTTGCTGTTGTGGTTATTCTTGTTGTTTATTTGGATGAAAGAGGAAAGAAGGAAAAAACAAAAAAAAAAAAACTATTACATTGACATCACAGGTGAAGGTGTAATAATTGTAATAATTATAATACAAAAAGAAAAAAAACAACAACAGAGGTAGTAAATAGTATGGAGTAAACCTGTTTGTTTATTGTTTAGTGTTGTCTCTGCTTTGTTATGATAAGTTATTTCCTTTTTTTTCTTTTTCTTCTTCTTCCTTGATTATTTCTTAAATTTACAATCATACAAAAAATAAAAAAAAGCTCACTACCTGTTTTTTTTTTTGTTGATTTCCTCCGTAACTGGAACCAATATATTGGGACAGAAGAGGAGAAAAGAAAAAAAAGGCTTTCGGAAACTGAAAAGAAAAAAAAACACGCACACACAGTTACGTATTTACGCATAAGTACTCAGAAATATTTTAATACTGAGAGTTAAATAATGGGAAAACCAAAGTATTTAAAGAAGAAACAAGAGGCGGCTGCAGCATCTGCTGAACAGCAACAACAATCTAAAGAAGAAAAATATGATACTAAAGTTGAGGAACCCAAATCTTCAGGTGCCATGGTAGCTTTTGCAAATCCTGTTTTTCGCGATGGTGTAAGTGACATTCTCGTTGAGAAGATTGACATTAGTTACCAAGGTGTACCTATCTTGGAAAATGCAACATTGAACCTTGTGGCTGGGCACCGGTATGGACTTGTGGGTCCCAATGGTTGTGGAAAGTCAACACTATTAAAAGTGCTTGGTTATCATGAGATCCCGTTTCCAAAGCATGTGGATCGTTACTTTGTCTCTCATGAAGTAGAGGCATCTGATGTGACTGCCCTGGATGCTGTCTTGTCTGTGGATAAAGAGAGAGAAAATTTGGAAAAGGAACTGGAGGAATTGGCTCTTGCAGATCAAGAAGATACGACAGTCTCTCATCGTATGGATGAAATTTATAAACGATTGGATGAATTGGATGCGGATACTGCAGAAGCACGTGCGGGAAAAATTCTCTTTGGTTTGGGATTTACTCCAGAAATGCAACATCGTCCAACTAAATCTTTCTCTGGTGGATGGCGTATGCGTATTTCATTGGCACAGGCACTCTTTATTAATCCTTCCGTTTTGCTTCTTGATGAACCTACAAATCATCTTGATATTGAAGCTGTGGTATGGCTTGAAAATTATCTTTCTAAATTTACGAAAATTCTTTTTATGGTTTCACATTCGCAAGATTTTATGAATAATGTTTGTACTAAAGTGGCCCATATGTCTCATGGAGGACTTCACTATTATGATGGTAATTATGATCAATTTTGTATTACCCGTGCAGAAAAGGAAAGTAACCAAATGAGACGTTTTCAATGGGAACAAAATCAAATTAAAAATATGAAAGAATATATTGCCCGTTTTGGTCATGGAAGTGCTAAACTTGCCCGACAAGCTCAATCAAAAGAAAAGACACTTGCTCGTATGGTTCGTGGTGGTCTTACACAAGCAGTTGCAAAGGATCGACAAATAAACTTTGGATTCCCCTGTGCTGGACCTTTGCCACCACCCATGTTGCAATTCCGTGAAGTTTCTTTTGCCTATCCTGGACGTGAAACCCTTTTTGAGGATCTTGAACTTGGTGTGGATATGGAATCTCGTATTTGTCTGGTTGGTCCAAATGGTGCGGGTAAGACCACGTTAACAAAACTCATGTGTCGTGAGTTGGAGCCTACTACTGGATATGTAGCGAAGAATGCCCATTGTGTTATTGCTCGTTTCCATCAGCACTTTGTGGATCAAATTGATATGTCGTTAACTCCACTGGAGTGGATGGGACAAGAGTATCCCACGGTCACGGATCCTAACATATTACGTAGTGCACTTGGGCGCTTTGGTGTTTCTGGAAAACTTCAAATGACGCCAATGAATACACTTTCAGATGGACAAAAGTCACGTGTAGTGTTTGCGTGGATGGCTTTCAAGACTCCACATTTAATGATTCTTGATGAACCTACAAATCATCTTGATATTGAATCTATTGATGCTTTGGCAGATGCTGTAAATGCGTTTGAAGGAGCTGTGGTGGTCGTATCTCACGATCTTCGACTTATTGCTCAAATTGCTGAAGAGATTTGGATTGTGGATAAGGGCCAATGCCGTAAATTTAATGGTGATATTGCGGATTACAAGGAACACGTCCAACAGGAGGTGCATCGCATGACTGAGGACTATGCCAACAGGAATTAAAGGAAGGATGGAGAGAGAGAGAGAGTAAGAGAATTAAAAAAAAAAAAAAA